AGCATCAGCATACAGGCCACTGCAACAGGAGTTCTGGGCCTGCCCACGTGTGAGGACCTGCCCTGTGCCTGCCGCCGGCCACCTGCTGCCTTGTTAGACTTCTTGTTTGTAGTTTTGAACTGTGGGTGCAGCTCTGGGGGTCCACACAGCCAGCTCCCCCTCTCCAGACAGTCTATTGGTGTGCATTTTACCACATCTCAGTCTCTGTGGGATCAAGCGCCCACTGCCCACTGCGGTAGCCGGTTTACCAGTTGGCTGCCTTCTCTCTGCCTCTTCCCAAGCTCCCTACCCTGGCTGACCTTCACTTGAAGCAGTTTCAGGCTCCTGCTGGGGGGAACACAAACCGAGAGGCCAATTCTAAAGCTAGGAGGCCTCGATGACATCAGGGAATAGATGAGTATGGAGAGGAGTTCTAGACAGGCTGAAGCCAGCGACAGCAGGTCTGGGAAACAAATAGCAAAGAAGACCGCATGTTAGGGGCCAGCGGGGCTTACCCAGGGCTAGGGAGCCAGGGGACTGTGAGCATGGAGGACAGCGGGGCTTACCCAGGGCTAGGGAGCCAGGGGACTGTGAGCATGGAGGACAGCGGGGCTTACCCAGGGCTAGGGAGCCAGGGGACTGTGAGCATGGAGGACAGCGGGGCTTACCCAGGGCTAGGGAGCCAGGGGACTGTGAGCATGGAGGACAGCGGGGCTTACCCAGGGCTAGGGAGCCAGGGGACTGTGAGCATGGAGGACAGCGGGGCTTACCCAGGGCTAGGGAGCCAGGGGACTGTGAGCATGGAGGACAGCGGGGCTTACCCAGGGCTAGGGAGCCAGGGGACTGTGAGCATGGAGGACAGCGGGGCTTACCCAGGGCTAGGGAGCCAGGGGACTGTGAGCATGGAGGACAGCGGGGCTTACCCAGGGGACTGTGGGCATGGAGGCCAGGCAATACAGCTAGGACCTACAGCAGTGGGCCATGGAATTAAACTGTGAAGGGGAAGTAAAGGCACGAAGGAAACTGTGAAAAGGTAGCACAACCAATGGAACAAAACTGCAGTAGGATCCAGGACCGCTGCATTTTCAGGGCATTTCACTGGAAGCTACACTCTTCAGTGATCAACTTTGCACAAACTGAAGCCACCTGGAAGAGAGAGCCTCCGTTGAGGAACTGCCTCCATCAGATTGGCCTATGGGGCATTTTCTTGATGATTGATATGAGAGTCCAGCCCACTGTGGGTCGGGCCCCCATGGGCAGGTGGTCCTAGGGAGTACAAGAAAGCAGACTGAGCGAGCCTGCTCTTACAAGGAGTAAGCAGCACTCCTCCACGGTCTGTTTGAGTTCTTGCCTCAGGTTCATGCCTTGCGCTCCCATTGCAGCTAACCTTGATGATGGACAGTGACGTGGAAGGGTAAACCAAAACCCCTTCCTTCCTAAAGCTGGTTTTGGTCAGTGTTTTAGCACTGCAGTAGAAAAGCAAGCTAAGACAGGAATTGGTACCGACGGTGCAGTATTGCTGTGACATAATGGGTCGTGTTGTTTTGGAGAGGACTGTGGTGGCATCTGGAACTTTGGGCCAGAAAAGCCATTGAGTGTGTGGAGCTTTAGTGAGCGAAGAGCTTGGAGAACAGAAATGTCAGGAGGTGGTGATGGAAGCCTGGGCTGTGAAGTCACAGGGAAGCAGACCACTGAGGCTGGTCATGTGCTAATGTTAAGAATCTGTTGTTTGAGGTCACCTGAGGCTGAAAATCTGGCTGTGATGAATAAGAAACTAACATTAAATCAAAATCTGGGTTCAACTGTGGTTAAAGGGGGCTAAGGTGGTACCTCAAGCTGGCAGCCAAATTTGGTAATGTGTAAGACTCTCATGTGGCATCGGTTTTGAAGGCATAAAGGGATAATGGAGAGATGCTGTGGCTTGGCACACTGACGAGTTAGAATACCTGCACAGGCCTGGCGGTCTTTTTGGAAGGTGTAGCCTCGGTTGCAGGTGGAGACTCCAGCATATTGGAGATGCCAGGGCTGTGGAACTTTTTAAAGGCTGGACCGATTTATGCTGTGACATTATTGTGAGATTGTAGGAATAAAAGCTAGAGTTGAACAGTGTCCAGTTGACAAAGGATCTGTTGTGCCTGTTGGTCCCCTCCCCCTAACCCCAACACAAACCAGTCATCTAGGAAGAGGGAGCCTCAGTTGAGGAACTGCCTCCATCAGATTGGCCGGTGGGCGAGTCTGTAAGAGGCATTTTCTTGATTGATGTCTAAGAATCCAGCTCACTGTGGGTGGTGCCATCCCTGGCAGGGGGGGCCTGAGCTGTGAAAGCAGACTGAGCAAGTCATGGGCACAGGCCAGTAAGCAGTGTTCCTCCATGGCCTCTGCCTCAGCCCTGCCTTGACTCCTGTTCCAGCTTCTCCTGATGACAGGCTGTGACTGAAGGGTAAGCTAAATAAACCCTTTCTACTCCAAGTTGGTTTCTGTCCGTGCTTTATCACAATAGACAGGGACTAGGAGAGAGGGTGTGGCTGAGGCTAAGGAATACTGCAAGACCAGACTGATGAGTGAGGGCTCCCATGTGTCAACGCCCTGCTGGGACTGCCTACTTGGTATGTGTGTTTATAAATACGAAATCACTCTTCCTTTGGAAAAACCCCCTTTCCCAGGTGAGTGACAGAGGCCGGAAGGTGACTACCTTCTCCAGGGCCTTCAGCCAGCCAAGAGCGGTATTGGGATTTAAGCCCAGGTCGTCTGCTCTACTGTGAGGCCTGCTTGTTACACGTGTGGGGAAGGGTAGCGTTTAGTGAAAAAGGTCTAAAAGCAGTGAAAAGAAAGGAACCTATCCCACTTCAAAGCTTGCTAGTGTGGGGGCTGAGAGCAGCTCTCTGAGCGGCTGTAAGGGAAGCTGTGTCCTGTGTGTGCAGACTAGATCTGAAACTGGGGGTGCCTCTCCCTTTTCACACTTAGCTTGTACTGCCTTTTCTTTTCTTTAAAGACAGATCTCTCTCTCTCTGTAGCCCTGGCTGTCCTGGAACTCACTATGCAGACCAGGCTGGCCTCAAACTCAGAGACCTGCCTGTGCCTCTGCCTCCTGAGCACTGGGATTAAAGGTGTGAGCCACCACATCTGGCTATTATTGCCTTTTCCCAATCACTGCAGAGAGGGCTTCTATAGCTTACTGGTAGATGGCTACCTGGTTTGTGTGTTCTCTTACATGCTGTTATCTTTAAATTCTAACTTCACGACAAGTAAGAAAATGTTTGTGCTAGTTATCTGCCCAGTGCGTCTGCCTTTGGCTTTGCTGTGGTGGTTAATGGACAGGCTTATTTTCTGAACCTTCCTGTGTTTTGGGGGATAGACAGTCCGGTCAGTGATTAGTCTAACATGCAGTCTATGTGCTCTTCTGGACTTCAGGAAGGGGATCTTCACTCTGAGAATGGCCTGCTATTCTTTCCTTCTGAAGCCTCTGTCAGTGTTATGGAGTTGCGTGAATGAACCTTGTCACCAGGGGCCTTGGAACAGAGAGGACCCAGAGAGCTGGAGGGGTGGCCCTGCTGTATGGCTCTTCTGGGCCTGGGTGAGGACTGGAACCCTATTTCTTCAACCAGGCTTGACTGGTCTAAGTCAGGTGTCATCAGGGCCCATTCCTTCTGTAAGCTCTGAGGGATAAAATGTTTCTTTGCCCTTTTTGGCTTCAAGCAGCTGTCTTTATCACTTGGCTTGGAACCCTTTCTCATTTTCCAAGGACACTGCTCCAGCCTGCATCCGCACAAGGCTCTCTCTCACATCCCACCTTCCCTCCACCATCTTCTTAGGATACTTAAACTGACACCTGGGACCCTTCAGGGCAATCTCCCTCAGTTTAACTTTTATCACTTCTGCAAAGACTCCTTTGCCATGCAAAGTACTCAGTTCTGAGAACGATGATCTGGGTATCGTGGGGCCCGAGCAGATCTTGGGGATCTTAAGAAGGCAGTCTATACCTCAGCTGCCTTTTTTTTTTTTTTTTTTTTTTTTCCCAAGACAGGGTTTCTCTTTGTAGCTCTGGCTGTTCTTGAACTTGCTTTGTCAACCAGGCTGGCCTCGAACTGACAGAGATCCGCCTGCCTCTGCCTCCCAAATGCTGGGATTAAAGGCATGTGCCACCACGCCTGGTGAAATGCTTTCATTTCTAAGTTGCCTTGGTCATGGTGTCTTATCACAGCAATAGAAAAGTCACTATGGCAGCAAATATCAAATTAACTGGCTTTGGCTGTGCTATGTTAGAATGCTTGATTTTTAAAAATTCTGGGGCTGGAGAGATGGCTAGTTGGTTAAGAGCAATGACTGCTCTTCCAAAGGACCAGAGTTCAATTCCCAGCACCCACATGGTGGCTCATAACCATCTGCAATGCCAGCCCTAGAGATCTGAGGCCCTCCTCTGTGGGCACTGCAGGAACATGGTGCACAGACATACAGGCAGGCAGAACATCCAGACACATAAAAATAAATATTTAAAAAAAAATTGAGTTGTTGATTTGAGTTTCATAGAGTGACCAATCATTAAATAATTTGGGACCAGTGATGTAGCCCAGTCAGTAGAGTGCTTGGCTATCATGTATGAACCCTGGGTTCAATTCCCAGCACCACATAAACCAGGCATAGTAGTGCATGCTTGTAATCCAAGCACTTGGGAGGCAGAGGATCAGAAGTTCAAGGTTTTTAACTAAGTTAAAGACCAGCCTGGACTAGAGGCCCTTTTTTTTTTGGGGGGGGGGGTTTCGAGACAGGGTTTCTCTGTGTAGCTTTGTGCCTTTCCTGGAACTCACTTTGTAGCCCAGGCTGGCCTCGAACTCGCAGAGATCCGCCTGCCTCTGCCTCCCGAGTGCTGGGATTAAAGGCGTGCGCCACCACCGCCCGGCTAGAGGCCCTTTCTTATACGGTAAACGAATTTTGGTGTTGTAAGTTTCTCTGGTCCCATCCGGCCCAGTCCCGGCCGTGAGGTCCCGCAGCTGGTTATAAAATAATCACTCAGAGGCTTAAAATTAATTGCAAATTATATGGCCTATGGCTCAGGCTTCTTACTAGCTAGCTCTTATAACTTAACTCAACCCATAACTATTAATCTATGTTTCACCACGTGTTCTGTGGCTTTACCTGCATCCCATTACATGTTGCTCCTGGACAGCGCGGTTCAGCGTTTCCCCTGCCTCTCCTTTCTCCTCTCTCTCTCTTGGATTTTCCCACCTGGCTCCATCCTGCCCTGCCAGAGGTCAATGCAGCTTTATTTATTAGCCAATGGGAGTAACACATATTCACAGCATACAAAAAGACATCCCACAGCATTTTGGTTTGGGAGTGACAGAATTTCCAAAAACATTAAAAATGGACAAAAACATTACCCTGCATTTTATACATGTATCTGTGAAAAATATTTGCTTTCTGAGACAAAGTCTTGCTATGTATATACAGCTGGCCTTGAACTCAGAGATCCACCTGCCTCTGCTGGGATATCATACCTGGCTATGTGAAGCAACTTTAAAATTGATTATAGAATCAAACTACCAATCACCTCTCAAAAATGTTGAAGATGTTTTATGTCCTCCTGAAGTATTAAACATTCCATTAAGATTTAACTAACTCTATGTGCAAAACAATTACATCCATGCCATTAGTACACAAATATTTGCTTTTGTCTTTAATAAATGATAGTTGTATATATAAATATACCAAAGAATTGTTTTAAACTAATTTTCCTTATCTATTTTCAGTATGCATTGAATTTATGTATCATTTTTCCACTCATAATCTGAAGGAAACAGTCATGAGTGGAAAAAACAAGCCCTGTTCTAGAGCTGCTGCCCATCGGATCTGCAGACTGCGCAGAGCAGGCCTAACCAACTCCATGATAGAGCTGTAAAGTGGCATCTGCAAGCATGTGACTTTGATGGACCCTGTCTACACAGAATATACACAGAAGGCTTCAGCTGGCAATTCCATGGAAATGTGGACTGGACTTCAGCAGACTGGTCTCTGGAATGAAACTGAGGTTTGCCCTTGCAGGTCTGTTCATGGGGAGCGGGCCCAGCTGTGGGTGAGCCTAGCTTCCCACCCACATGGGAACCTGCTGTGAGAGTAACTGGGATTAATGGCCAGGCCAAGTGGATACACACGACAGAGAAGAGAGTGACAGGTTTCCAAATGATAGGCAGGTCAGGAGGGGAATTTCCTCTCTAACACATGGGCAGAATAACTATCTGGCAGGGCTGCATGGGGAGGGAACTGGGTACTCCATCAGACGACCATCTATGGCTTCTGTCACACTGCCAGCCTCCACTCAATGACTGAGGCTCAGACAGACAGGTTATATACATGGATTCATGTTAAAGCCAAGCCAGTTATTAAATCTCACTTCAAAGCTTCAAAGAAAATACAGTTTTAAAATGCCCACCCCATAAATCACCAAAGCAGCAGCACCCCCCTCCACCCCAGTCAGCAATGCTCTAAGAAGTGTCACTCATTTGGGTGATCTTCAGTTGGCCGGAAGATGAAAGGCTGAGCAGAACTGGGAGGTCGCTAGGTCCGCGGGGACTGTGTTCAGAGGAACATCAGTTAGCCTTCAATTGAGGCAGCCTCAGGATCTTAGGTCTTCTCAAACCCTCCCGACATGGTTCCCTTCACATAGGCTACTTCCCTACCAAAACAAGTCAGTGAACATAAGAGACCAGGGAGTTAATGTTGCACGTCACAATCTCCGAGCACTGGTCCATGTTCTTCCTAATCCTGTAGAATTTCTCCACGTACTCAGATCGCCCCAAGAGCTCCACAAAATCTTCATCGTGAGTAATTACCAGAAGCTGGAAGTTACGCTGCTGTGAGCGACTTTTTATGATCCTGAAACAATACATTGAGAACACCTTTTTACTAATGGACATACATTTGGAAAAACCACTGGAAATCTTGTCAGATACAAGAACAGCTGTGTGGCAACCAAGCTTTTCCTGTGCCACGTGTGACAGGGCCTTTGGCTGCCCTGCAGGAAATGGGGAAAGGCTGGGGCCTTCAACCTAGGCAGGTAAGGAGTCCTATCTCCTTCCCACACAGTGGGATGCAGGGATGCAGAGTCCCACTCCCCACTCATATGGCTAAGAACCAGGTCAAGAATTTGGACCAGTTTCCCAAGATCCTAAGTTGCTGTTCACGTAGGGGAAAGTCTTCTGGGAAAACCTAAACCATTCAACCATAAGAGCCCAGCCCGCTCGCCTGCCTAGACTCTCCTGACCTGCTGCTAGACTTCTCTGAAAGTCTAAAAGTAATTCAGGAGACAACAGGTAGGGGAATAACACTGCCTTCTGAAGAGCTACGTCTACTTAGAATTCTGCCACCACCAGTCACTAGATGCATCAGTGCTGTGACACACAGAGGGCCTGAGTGGGTGTACTGGGGACATTTTTGCTCATCATCAGCATGCTGAGGTATCAGCTATGAGTGAGCTGCAACAAGAGTTTTAACTCACACTTGTTTATCACATGCCTGGGGCTAGATGCACTTCATGTTTCGATACCACAACCCCCTCTTTTCTTGCTGGCGCCCCAGGACTATGAAGAGCTGGCTGGAGCAGGACATCAGTGCTGTCAGAGCTCTTCTGGAGGCAGGGGTGTGTACAAGTAACAGCTGCCGCCCTACTCTGGAGCCTTTCTGACATGAGGAATGGGTACACAATGACTACAATCTAGACTCTGGCATCATCTACTTACTTACCTGGATGCTTTCTCCATAAACGCTCTCATTCCTCATGGTAGTCATGTGACATGTGACAGAGAGTCCCAGCCCTACTACCACCAGCTCTGAGTGTCTGGCCAGGGCACATACTGACTCCTGTGCTTGACATTGGCGCGTTCACAGGATATCCAGAGAAAGCTCAGAACTCCTCACCTTTACATGGCCTATGAACACTTGGGGAGAGGCAGGATATGCCTATGCCTCAATACTCTAGCTCTTTTTATTTTATATGCATTGGTGTTTTGTCTGCATGTATGTCTGTGTGAGGGTGTCTAATCCCCTGGAACTGGAGTTAGAGCTGTGAGCCACCATGTGGGTGCTGGTAATTGAACTCCCATCCTCTGGAAGAGCAGCCAATGTTCTTAATCATTGAGCCATCTCTCCAGCCCCTCTAAGAAAATCTGGAGAATTACTACTGAAAGTCGAAGTACAAAGCCTGGTCTCAACTGTTTTTGTTTTTTTCAAACAGGGTCTCACTGGCTGGCCTGGAATTCACTATGTGGACAAGGCTGGTCCCGAACTCAGAGATCTGCTTGCCTCTGCCTCCAAGTGCTGGCATTAAAGGCTTGTACCACCACACCCATCTCTGCTACTGGTATTTAAAAAAAAAATTACAATCTGCCCCGAACTTGAAATACTTACTCAACCAAAGCATGTGCAAGAGATTCAATGTTTTCTCGGTCAAGATTTGTCGTGGGTTCATCCAAGGCAAGGATGCCACAGTTCAGACAGAAGGTTTCAGCCAATGCCAAGCGGATGATGAGAGAGGCCAACACCTGGAGAGAAGTTGCACAGCAGTCTTCTTTAGAAGGGGACGGTGAAATGAACGGAGCATGGTGGTGACACCTTTGTTCCCAGCACTCAGGAAGCAAAAGCAGGTGGACCTCTGAGTTCTAGGCCAACCCAACTACACAGTAAGACCCTGTCTCCAAAAACAAAAAAAAGGTAGTAGGAGGTGGGAAATGTCACAGGTCACTGATGTTAGGGACAGTTCAATGTAGATTCATGCTTTTCTGGAAGGTGGGCCATCAGCCACATTCTCTCAGCCTATCATTTGCACTGAAACAAAACACTGAGAAACAGCACTGCCAGCATTCCACTTCTATTAAAAGCTGACATCATAGGCTAAGGGGTGATGCATTACAGTTTATCAGCAGAAGTCCAAGATTCACCTGGAACTCACTCTGTAGACCAAGCTGGCACCAAACTCTTGAGAGGTCTGCCTGCCTCTGCCTTCTGAGCACGGGGCTAAAAGGTGTATGTCATCACACCTAGCCTTAAAACTTTTTTGATCTGGCCCTTATAGTTTCTCAATGATGAAACTTGTTGGAAAATGCAAACACATTACATTTTCCTGGGCTTCACAGGGACTTGAACTCCAAGTGCTCTGGTCCAAAAGAGAAAGCAGGTAAGTGTGTTCTAAACCACATCAAAGTGTCTGCTTGTGTAATTGTGACGGCGAGGGAAAGTTAGAGGACAGCTCTATTTGTATTTACCTCTAGGAGCCACCGAGTCCACTCACAGTTACTAAAAGTTAAACGTTAAACCCCTCAGACTCGGCCCTAGTCCTCTCAGGGCTGACGGGGCACAGCAAAGACTCAGACTGTTCGGGGAAGGCAGAAGGCTTTTGCGTGAGCGCTCATCTCACTGCCTGCTGACTGCAGGGCAGGCCACACCTTCCCTCTGATGTCCAGGGCAGCCAGCAGACTGCAGAAGCCTATTGTCCCTTGGGGGACAGACACTTCCTTCCTGCCTCTGTGTCCCACAGCTGCCAATCCCCCACCAGCCGCTGACGTGCAGGCTGCTGGCTGGCCCATAACCACCAAACCGTTCATCTGACAACTCCCTACACCAGGAAGCAAGTGCTGCCACTTTTCACAACGGAAGAGCAGCTACAGGAAACTGACTTTTGCTCAGAGACCATGTTTCAAACTCCTTTATAATGAATATTAGACATCAATAAATCATGTAGGGATACTGTTTATAGATCACAAATTAGTAATTTCTTCCGACTATGATTGGTATAGTAATATGCATTGCCTGAAATTGGTGTTAGCGGTCTGGGCTGGCAATAACTGGGATAATTATATGAATAATATGGCATCCTTTTCTAAGCCTTCAAAATTTTATGAAAAATCTGCTTTAATATGAAAGTTGAGAATCTGCATCCTTGTGTATGGTTAACAGAAATCAACATTCAGGACCTCCCCATGCTCTGGGATGCAGGTCTCATGTTCCGGCCTTATTAAAACATTTCTCATTCTGATTCCCCCAGTGCTCAAACCCACCTACCTTCTTCCTACCTACTGTCCTCCTCTGGGAGCCTCAAGTAGGGCCAGTGGCCAGACTGAGCCCTTGGTCTAGGGCCCAGCCCAAGGCTAGGCTGAGGTGCTGGTGCTGGGGGGGATTAAGTCCTATGCAGAGGCTATATTCTCAATGACCCAGCTCAGAATCCTTCATTGGTTCAACTCGGGCTCCAGTTTGCTAGTGCTCTTTGTTCATTTGAGACTGGGTCTTGTGCAGCTCAGGGTGGCCTCAGACTCAGTCTAGAGCCAAGGACGACTTTGAACCTCTGATTCTCTTGCTCCCACCTCCCTAGCGTTAGCATTATAGACATGTTTAGGTAGTGGTGGGGGTCAAGCCAAAGCCTGTTCACGTTGGGCAAGCACTCTACCAGCTGAGCTCCATCCCTCCCCCTGCTAGTATTATTTATGACTGGCAGTATATTTACTATTTAATTCTGAGATTTCCTGCCCATTTTGATACCAGACTGTATTTTTGGGGGCCCATGAAGCAGTGACCTTTCTCTGAGAAGAAATGCTGTGGAAGTGAAAATGGGTTTGAGTAACTTTGACCCTTTTCTTACGTTATCTTCAGGGTGCTACCAGGGCATGTTAGCTGGCAGTGGGATGGTGCCATGAGATAGCTGTGTCTGTCTCCTTCACGAGGTGGCAAGGAAGCTGTAAGGACTTCTCCTTCATTTGAGGGTAGTCCAAGGCTTCCACAACATCAGGTCCATCTTTTAGCTCTTTAAGTTGGCTTCCTAGATTGCTGAGATACCTGCCTTTTGTCCAGCACTGCATCGTCCCCGCATGTCCAAGGCTGTATCCCCCTTCAGCATTACCACTCGGTAGTTGTAATTCCGTCTTTTGTCAGAAGCCGAGACATTTTCGTCAGCATCTGATCGAATTTCTATGTATTCAATATCTGATACAGAAAGCAGAGTATTTTACAGAACCCACACTGTACCCCTGTCATTTATACACATCATCCAAGAAGTCTGGGGACAACAGTGAGTCTGACGGCCTTGGGAGCACTGGCTGCCTTGCAAACTCTCTGGCCAGGAGGACCCAGGAGCCACGTGGTCTGCCAAGATGCAGCCTGGATGGCCCGCCCCCAGCCTGGGCTGGCTCCTTTGCTAAGTTTCCTTTGGGTAGTTTTCTTATCACATTTGGGCCTATCCCTATCTGTGCTTTCACAGAAACCATTATGTCATCAGCCCATTGTGTCTGCTACAGACAATGAGTCCTACAGGGCTTTGGAACAGAAACTTTGCATTTTCTTTCTGTTATAAGATATTGCAAAGATAAGAATTCTTAGAAAAATCTCAAAGAAATGCTCAGGAAGAGGTCTAAGAAGGTAATGCTGGCATGGTAAGGTCATACAGGGGAGGCCGTGGACAGAGCTTTGGAACAAGCATCTGGGACACACCATATATTAATTACCTTGTCCACGATAGGTACTCCGCCAAAGATCACGAATAATTTTGTTGATTTCTTCCATCTTCATACTGTGAAATTTCATTATTGCTCTGGAAAAAGGAAGCCACTTGGTAGAATATGTACTATTTATATGAAAGACATAGAATAGCTATGCAATAGTTTATGTTAAACTGTGTCAATATGTAATATATGTAATAATAATACAGATAACACCATTGCCCCAGTATTTCAATTATGAAAGTTTAATATGAAAAGGGCTAGAAGAAGTTACACAGGACTAAGCTGTGCTGTTTCCCTGGCACTGAAACTGCTAGGCATACGCCAGGCCCCAAGTCTTCACATGTCTCCGTTTTTATTCTGGGACCCAAATACTTCTTTGAGTACTCAGAAACTGCAGAGTTGAGTGTGGCAGTGTATACCTTTAATCTCGGCACCCAGGAGGCAGATATCCATAAATTTGAGGCCAACCTGATCTACACAGCAAGTTCCCCAAAGCTACACGGTGAGACCCTATCTCAAAACAAATCCCCCAAACCTTTCAGAGAATAAAGCTTTAACAGGCTTCTTTCCTAGGCCCTGAGAGCACACTGGAGGGGCAGCCTCCCTGGTACCCGCAGGAGGCCTGCTGTAGGCAGACCTATGTGCTAAAGGTGAGGGCGGGCACAGCTAGCCAGGGAACCTTGTCACAGAGCAGAAGCAAGGCTCTGAAATTCTAGAATTTTTTAATTTTAATTTTTTTTTGAGACAGGGTCTCTATAGCCCTGGGCTGTCTTGTAGACCAGGCTGGCCTCAAACTCAGAGATCCACTTGCCTCTGCCTTGTAAGTGCTGGGACTAAAGGTGTGTGCCACTATGTCCAGCTCCTAGAACTGTTCAAAGGCAGCCCTTTATGCTCTTTTATTCCTCAGATCTGTGAGAACTGTATCTCCCCAAAGGCAGCTTTGGCTCAAAAGGATGACTTAGAAGCCTGACCCTTTACTCAGTCACAAGTCCTATCCTATCATGCACTGACCTCCACAGTGTGCCCTTCCTGCCAATTCTCTTTTAAAGCAGCAGTCTCTAGACACTGAACAAAGAATGTTTGTGAAAGCCAAAGCTGCTTGATAAAACTGAGTACCATGCCTGCCCTGGCTACCTCAGATCAGGAGGCAGGACTATCAGCTACAAAAGTCGTTGCCGTGGTAAGAAGGCAGGTTTCACGGCTATCACCATGCAAAGGATGTGAGCGGACTCCCTTCCCTTTGCAGGCCTCTTATCTGATATATACAAAAAAAGAAACTAAACGTAATGCCACTGCCTCTGTACAATCATTTTGTGATCTTCTGATCATCAGCTAAAGAGAAAGAAATGACTCAACATAAATACGTCTAAATATCAGATGGAGGGCTGCTGAAGTAGTAAAGCCTGGAAAAAAACCATTCTGCTTCACCAAGTCTCCATTTGCTAATTCATGCTCATCTCTTTTTTTTCATAAAGAGAAGACAAGCCAGCTATTTTCTTCAAAAAGGAAAATCACAAAAAAATACGTCACATAATATTCTAGGAACTAATCGTGTGAACACTACTCTTCCATAGCTTTATACACCATGATCCTAATTTTATAAATGGCATTTAAAAAATGTTATTGAATTGTTATCGAAGTGATAACATAAGAAGCACGTGAACTGAGAACACACACCAGGAAGGCAGGAGCGTGCAGTCTCTGCTGAGACCCACAGCAGCGGGGAGAGCTCCAGTACAGAAAGCCAGCCTGCTCGGGGTATCAGAGAGAGCTGCCCACCTGACGGAGTAGCACTGACAGGAGTGGTTACCAATACCCGTCACCTTCTGAAAGATACCTCGTGCTCAAAGTCACACATTATCTCTCCAACCTCTAGTCACTATGCAAACAGACAAAGTGGCTAGGATACTTTGATTATGATCGTTTTTAAGGCAGTGAGCAGACAAGATGGTGTTCTGAGCATTATCAAATCCTCACGGTGTGCCTACCTTCTGGGTATACAAAGTATTACAAAGCAAGGAGAGAGATCAGAGAGCAAAAACTTTTGGGCCTGTTTTACCCACCATGACAGAAACAAGCATCCGAAACAGAACTGAGGTTAGTTGTAAGGGCACTGAATAGACCACATGCCGTGGTGTAGACCTGACTACTGGCAAGGAACCCAGGGTTAAGCACATCTTAGACAAGCACATCATCTACCTCTGCACACCATCGCAGTTTACTGAGCGGTATTTATCCCTAGAAAGCAAGAACAGCACAGCAGGAAGAAAACTGTCCAAGGCAACTTACTGCATACAACTGCATACCAGACTAACGAAAAATGGATGAGTGCCAGGGGGTGAGGGGCACACCTTTAATCCCAGCACTTGGGAGGCAGAGGCGGGCAGATCTCTGAGTTTGAGGCCAGCCTGGTCTACAGAGTGAGTTCCAGGACAACCAGGGCTACACTGACAAACCCTGTTTCAAACCCCTGCCCCCCCCCCCCAAAAAAAAAACCAAACCAAAACAACAAACTGATGAGCCAGTGGGTATAAAAGGAACATTTGGTACACTAACACTGAGTTTTGGTAAAATGGAAAAAATGTCTTTTCTTTTACAAAATGTCTCAGTCAGGCATTGAGCGCAACAGCAAACACCACCTAACACAGACACAAGCATTTCCCCCACAGTAACCAAGAGAGACGCTGCCTCGCACAGCTCTGAAACAGTAACGTGGTAAACAGGAGGGGAAGGAGCAAATGACAAGCACTAGAAGGGAGTCCGTCACTGTTTCTGCATGTGAGGCTTGACTGTGTGCTTAAAAATTCAAGAAAATCAACTGAACTATAAAGATTATCAAGTGAACCAGACATAAGCCTCGGTATGGTGGTGCAAGCGTTTACCAGCACTCAGGAGGCTGAAGCAGGTGGTCTCTATGAGTTAGTGGCCAGCCTGCCCTACATAATGAGCTCCAGGATAGGCAGGGCCACATACATAGTGAGCCCCTATCTCAAAGCAAACCATTTGTATAGTACTACTACCTAGCTTCTAACACTGCTGGGAAAAACAAGGGTGGAGGCAGGGGGGGCCCTAGAGCTGGAGAGATGGGTCAGCCAGGAGAATACGTGCAGCCAAAGTCTTCATTCAGAACTCCAGAAACTCTCATAAAGAGCCAGCCTCAGGGGCTCATATCACTGCGGAGATGGATACAGGAGGACCCTCTTAAGCTCAATGGCCAGCTGAAGTGATGGGACCCAGAAACCCTCTTCAAAAAATAAGGCTACATAGTCTAAAAAAAAAAAAGATGGACAGAGATGAGATGCGCGCTCTCTCTCTCTCTCTCTCTCTCTCTCACACACACACACACACACACACACAGATCCTATTAACAATGGCAATAAAAAGTATAAAATAGGAAGAAATTAAAAAATATCCAGCACTAGAGGAAAAAGCCATAACTTTTCAATAGCACAAAAAGAAATGACTGAAGAGGAGACACATTCCAAAGAGTCAACAGGGGCAGCAGATTCCTTGTTGCAAAGACAGCTTCTTTCCAAGTGCACCATAAATAGAAGCAACCAAAGCAAAAATAGCCCAGCATTTTAAATTCAACCAAAGCATTGAATTTAAAAAGAATTCAATGAAATCTGTACACAGATTGTAAAATTTTGAGAGAGAAACCATAAATATAAAACTGTGGTACTGAGACAGGAAGAAATATTAAAAAGTTTGTGGACAGAAAAGAAAATCTAGACGTTAACACAAATAAAAACCTCTGATAATTAATATAACTGACATTTCAAATCAATTAGAAATATCTCAATACTGTTGGAAAGGAGAAAACAGCATCATGACTTTGTATCAAACTCCAAAATAAAATTCCAATCACTAAGAGTTAAAGTGGGGAGTGTGAGGCTCTAAGCTCAGATTCCCAGATCCTACATAAAGGCTGGATGCAGTAACGTGTGCCTGTAAATCCAGCTCTCCTACATGGAGTCCCTAGAAGCTCAGGGGTCAGCTGTACATGACAGACCCTACATCAAAGCATCAGAGGCCCAACACACCAGGTGACCTTTACATGAATGCTGTGACACTGACACACACACACATTAATGTTACAGTAACCAGTGTGGTGGCACACACCTACTACTCAGGAGGCTGGTCAGGAAGACCACTGGAGAATACCCAGAAAAAAATCTTTCTGTAATCTTTGGATTGAGAAGATCTGACTAAGGCATAGAACTATGAAGATATAAATTAAATGATGCCATGAAGAGTGTTAAAGGACATGTGATGAACCAGACACTTAAAATGATAGAGAAACGTCAGCTTTAACCAGAACAAGTGGAAACACATGCTTTGTAAGTGCTCTTGGGAGCCAATCTAGCATTAACAAGTTAATGACCATACCCTCTGACCTAGTGGCTTCATTTCTAAGAAGCTATCTTTCTGGTCTATCTGCATAAGCATGCAAAGCCATACATACAGCAGCATCAGTGGTGGCCAAATCTGAAAGCTTCCTAAAGTCAATGGTTGAAATAGGCAAAATCTATTTTATGGAATATACCGACATTAAAAGTTAGAAGTACACACCTCTATGAACATAAAAGAATTGCATGCCTCCAAGAACATGAAAGTTACATGAAAAAAAACAACAAAACAAAACAGAGTGAGCCGGCCAGGCGTTGTTGGCACACACCCTTTAACCTCAGCACTCTGGAGACAGAGGCAGGGGTGAGTTCAAGACCACCCTGGTCTACAGAGATTGTTCAGGACAGCCAGGGCTACACAGCGTTAGTGATGCAGGAGCACCTTGTTGAGTTTTAAGCAATGTCACCTCGTCAATCCACCTATCCTGACGAGTGTTCTGTGACTTGTAGATGTGAAGTATGGCGAAGCACAAATCACCTGTAACACATGTGGTACCAATAATATGGCCTGAGAGGGAGGAACAATCACGTCTACTTGGAAAGGTCTTAAGGGAGCATTCCAAGGAGAAACAAGACAGGAAACCATGGGTGTTAAGAGAACAAAACTGTTCAGTTGGTGCGGGTACTGTGAGTAGAGGTCAATGGGGAAGGGAGGAGGAAGTCTTTCCTACAACGACAGC